TGGTGCTGGTAGTGGTGCTGCTGCTGCTGATGCTGCTGTTGCTGCTGCTGCTGTTTCTGTTGCTGTTACTGCTGCTGGTCTTGCTTCTGTTGCAAGCCGCTATGCTAGTGATATTAGGTGCAGTTAGGTTGCTGCCTTTGCTGCTGCTGCTGCTGAACTCGCCGCTGCTGCTGCTACTTCTGCTGCTGCTCATATAGACAGTGCCGCTTATGTGCTGCTGCAGCTCTTCGCCGAGCCCAAAACAGCAGCCGCACCAGCTGCAGCAGCGACAGAAGCTGCAGCAGCACCTGCTGCAGCAGCAGCGGAAGCAGCGAGGAAGCCCAAGGATGCTGCTTCCGACGCCATTGTTGCTGCTGCATGCAGCAGCAGCAGCAACAGCACCGAGGGCACAGTGCAAGACACAGAAGGCAGCACTCCCCTAGCAGGAGCAGCAGAAGCCAGTGCAGCAGCTGCTGCCTCTCCTTTAGCAGAAACTGTGGATGCAGCAGCAGCAGCAGGAGCAGCAGCTTCTGCTGCTGCTGCTGCTGCTGCTCCGCCAGCAGAAGCTCAAAGTGCTGCTGATACACCACAAACCCCGAAGGTTGTGGGCAGCCAGTCTGCAGCAGCTGCAGCAACAGAAGCAGCAGCAGAACAAGCAGCAACTGCAGCGGATGCTGCTGCGACAGCAGCAGCAGAAGCCACTGAAGCGCAACCTCTTGCAGCAGAAGCAGCAGCAGCAGCAGAGCCAGTTTTTTCTGTTTTGGACTTCCTCAAACTGCTTGCCACATTCGCTAGCGACAGTACGAAATCTGCTGCTGCTGCTCCTGCTGCTGCTTCTGCTGCTGCTTCTGCTGCTGCTTCTACTGCTACTTCTGCTGCTGCTTCTGCTATTCGTGCTGTCGCTGCTGCTGCTGCTGCTGCTGCTGCTGCGTGTGCTTGTGGATGTATTGGCAGCTTGCGCTGACCAGCAGCTGCTGCAGCAAGAGAAACTTCATATTTGCTGCTGCTGCTGCTGTTGCTGGTGCTGCTGTTTGTTCGCAGCAGCTGAACTCGACGAAGAGCACCGCAGCAGAGTTCTCGTGCGGCTGCTGCAGCAGCACCCGCAGCTGCTGCTGGCAGCAGCAAGATCTGGTTTAGAGCCTCTCTTTTTGGTTGCCTT